CTTATTCCTTTCTTGGTTAAGATCAAACTAAGTAGACCCTAGGATGTTTATCCATGTATGCCAATATTAGGTAGAGTTCCATTGATCCCAACTTTAGGTCCACAAGCATGACATCAAGTAGGATTGAGATTCCCCTTTTATTTAGATTTTTCTTTTGGCATTTCTTTAAAATTAAAACTCCTTTTTCTTGGTCAAATTCATAAAATACCTTAACAAAACTTAAATCATTTTTCAAGGTAAAATTAACCAATACAAATCATTTTTGTCTTTCGACCTTTTTCTTTTGAAAACCTTTTCGGTAAGGGTGTGTCTTTTCAAATCTGAGTGAGTTGCTAAGTGTGCGAGTGGTTGAACATGAGTCTTTGATAAGCTGCAACGCCAAGCATGAATTGCAATCCTAATCGCAAGGACGCGAAATGATATTACTCATAAAAAACATGCAACTCACCAAAACTTTTGAGGTGAGCTACGAGTGCCTTGATCCCAATTGTATGGACGGTGGTACGTAGGCACAAAGGTCTGAAACCATGACAGACACGATTAATAAAAACTTTTTTTTTTGTAAATAATCCTTTGCATTCATGCATTCCCTTTATAGTCTAGCTTTAGATTTTTGACACACCCTTTAGATTAGGCAACAAGAGTGGATCTCGTGGAGTACCGCAGACGTGAGGGGTGCTAATATCTTTCCCTCGCGTAATCGACTCTCTTATCCGATCTTTCGGTCACAAGACTGTGATTTAACCCTTCAGATTTACTCGATATTTATCTTTTCCTTTGACGGGATAAAAAATATTTGATGGCGACTTAATTGTTTATTTCAATTATTTATCCAGTTGCTTCAATTGGTAGATTCACTCATTTCATTGGTGAGGATAATGCTTAGCTGAGTTTACACGGGCGGTCATGGTTATAAAGGTTACCATTGACAGGAGTTGGGACAAAATTGGATTGAAACATATTCATCAATGGTTGTTAAGTCTCGTTCGAATCCTAATGTTATCCTTATTTCTATTAGAAATCATTGGATTAATTGTTTCAATAAGATGCAAGGCTTGAACTTTGTGATCACTCGTATTTATTGAGAAGGCAACACGTGTGCAAATGGTCTAGCTAGCATCAGTTTAAAGAATATAACATCTTCTTTGTTTAATCATTTGAAAGCGTAAATTAGAAAGGATTTTTTGTGTAACAAAATTGGACCCTTTAAAATTAGATGGATTTCTCATTAAGGGGTTTGGTTTTGCCCTTGTGCCCTTCTCTTTTTTTTATTTCTTTTCTTTTTTTTAATATATGGATTGGGCTCAAATTTATTTAAAAAAATTATGAATTAAATTGTTACTTAATTAATGGTAGGAAGGGAGAGAAAATATTCAATCAAAAAAGTAAAAATGATGTGGCTTAAGAGAAAATTTAATATTAGTTATTATAAAAAAAATTATAATTTTAGTTACTTTTATATGATTAAGCAAAAAAGAATCTATATAAAAAAGTAAAATATATACTTTTTTTAAAGATAAAAGGAATCAATAAAAAAAAAAATATTAATTAAAAATAATATAAAGGTAAAGGGATTCAATCAAAAAAAAGGAAAAATAAATTCAAATATACTAGTCAAATTTTTTTCAATTTTTTTAAAGAAATAAAGTTAATAATTGTTTCTAGATTTAAAGGTTATAAAAAAGAGGATTTTACTATATGAAGTAAAAAAAAGTGGGTTAGTAGAAAAATATGTTAATTAAGAAATAAATAATAAAATAAATAAAGAAATTATAAAATTATTACTAATTTAGATGTTAAAATTTCTTTCAATAATTTAACAATAGATAATGTTGTAAGAAATTGAAGTTCTCTATTTATAACATTTTTATATTTTTGGCAATTTGTTTTTCTATTAATATTTATTTCTATTATGAATTTAAAAAATGTTAGATGGTGCGAATATACTTTTTCAATGTAGTACATCATACATGCATGTTTGAAAAGGATAATCATTTATATTCTAGACAAATAAATATATTAATGTATTTGAAAATCAATTATGTGTTTCTAAGGTGAAACTAAACATATATTAAAGTATGCTTGAAATTTAAAAAAATATTATGATACGGCACAATTCCTAAATACTATTATTATTAATTATTATTAGTATAGGTGACAAATAGGCATGTTGGATCTGCTCTATAAAAGTTCCTAAAAAAAAATAGTAACGTGGAATGACTTATTTAAGCATGCGAGTTTAAAATTTTAATTTATTTCATATTAAAAATGAAGGTAGGACGGGACAGGTCCGCTAGCATTGTATTTTGCAAGTCTAAAAATATAAAAATTCATGTAAATGACGGTGCTCGCAAAAGTCTGAAAAAAAATGAATCAGAATGGACACATTAGTGTATGAAAACCTACACTTTTAGTCTGTTCCACACTAAAATACTGACAAAACGGACATGTCAAACGAGTCGGATCCGTTTTACCACCGTTAACTTATGAAAAACCAGGGAAGAAGGGGTGTGAAAAGTGAGGTGCTGGCTCAACTTATATCAAAAGACACAATAAGTCATTTTAAGTATAATCAATTTATAATTTTCAAGACCACTCTTTGTAGCTGCATAACTAAACACAAACTCCACAACATTCGACCTTGAATTTAAGAAGCCTAGAATTGAAACTTGTAAATAATTAGTGTGCAGTGTCATCAAGTTTTGCTTGTGTTCCAAACTCACAACACTAGAGCCTTTGCTTCTTTTCAAAATACACTTTACATATATCAACTCACATTCATGTATCATGTACATCAAGTTAAGCATCTTTGGCATTGCTTATAACATCAACGACATAATATATCTTGGAGCATAATATCTTCATTTGAGGATAACTTGGACCTTGTGTAGAATTAAAATGGAATTATAGTTTATACTTCAAAGTGATATCACTTCATTTCAAACATACAGGTTCAAAAAGCTACACATATAAAAGAAATGGATAATGACTAGTCATTAATGACTCAATGAGTATGGTCTCATTTGTCTGTCCTGCCACACAAGGCAATGAATGAACTCCACTTAATTACTAGGTCCATTTGTTTCAACCTCCACGTTGTGTTTCATGACACAATAAATATACACATGCAAAAACCTTAGGTGACTAAAATTCAATCTAAAACCATTGTTCAAAGACGAGCAGTTACAGTTACATTGTTGGTGGTGCACTTCACTATGGCTATTACTAATCACCTAACTCTTTTTAACCTTTATGTCGCATATGCCGTATTCAAACTTAAACTCTGTCTTTGCACCTATCAACTGAGTTGTACTTAAAAGAAAATCTAAGACTGCACATTACCATCATATTACAGGTGCAGTTCGCAAAAAGTTGGATTGTGCATTAGACTAAGAGACATTAATTAGTGTTACAAACATAATATTATAGTACTAAAGGAAACAAGAGATGCACAAAATGCTAGTTCCCTCGCCTTTAAAAGCAACACGAAAAGGAATCATTTCCTATCACCTAAATGAAATTTGTGAATTTCTCTATCATTAAAAAGAATAATCAATTCTATTCCAGACAACTAAGTACGATAAAATCAATTATGCATGTTTCTAACGTGAAACCAAACATATACTAAACTATGCTTGGGATTTGAAAAAACACCGTGATACTGCATAATTGGTAAAAATTGTTATTAAGAGTGACAAACAGACATGTCCCTTCCATTTAGACTCGCTTCGTAAAAGTCCGTAAAAAAATAAGTTAGACGGACGGACATACTTGAGAGTGTGAGTTTAAAATCTTAATTTGCCCCGCACTAAAAGTGAGGATGGGATAGGGCCTGACATTGCTCATTTTAAGATTAAAAATACAAAAATTCATATAAAGTTAAGCATACATCAACGCAGATGTATCTGTCATGTACATCAAGTTAAGCAACATAATATATCTAGGAGCATAATATCTTCATTTGAGGATAACTTGGACTTTGGAATAGAATTAAAATGGAATTATAGTTTATACTTCAAAGTGATATCACTTCATTTCAAACATATAGGTTCAAAAAGCTACATACAACTATAAAAAAATTGGGTAATGATTAGTCATGAATGACTCAAGTAAGGTCACTTTCCAATGAGTATGCCCTCATTTGCCTGTCCTGCCTCACTTAATGCTAGGTCCATTTGATTCAACCACCACGTTCTGTTTCAAGACACAATAAATAAACACATGTAGTGAATAAAATTCAATCTAAAACCATTGTTTTAGAAGGTGAGTAATTAAAGTTTCATTTTAGGTGTTGCACTTCACTATCTATTACCAATCACCTAACTCTTTTAAACCTTTATGTTAGCATATTCGTATTCAAAGTTCGACACTGTCTTTGCACCTATCAACTGAGGTGTACTTACAAGAAAATCTAAGACTGCACCAACATATTGCAGGTGCAGTTCGCAAAAAGTTGGACAGTGCATTAGACTAAGAGACATTAATTAATGTTACAAGCATAATATTATAGTACTAAAGGAAACAAGAGATGCACACAATGCGAGTTTGTTCGCCTTTTGGCAACACAAAAAGAACCCTTTACTATCATCTAAATGAAATCTGAGAATTTCCCTATCATTATTACAATGTCGTTGTTTCATGATTGGGATAAAAACCAACACTCTTTTCCCCTCAACCAAGAGACAAACACAAGAAAAGAAAAATGCTCACAGCATAAACCATACTCACAAATATCCCAAAGAACCACAGAAACTTGCAATTATTCATTTATTAACTTTACATCAGTAAACCAGAAACCGAAACTTAAGAGGGTAATCCACTAATATATATATATACACAACAGCATTACCAGTCTAAAACCATAATCAAATGTTGGCAATGTCAAGTGCTTCATCAAATTCAATCACAAAACTAATGTAGAATGAACATGAAATAAAGGATGCAAATGGCATTTCCATTTAACAACACAGTCTTGAGACAATAAGAACATGCATTTCAACCTAGTGTGAAAGAGAATTCAAAGATTCATCTAAATCATATTCAACCGAGAAATTACAAAACTCCCTAGCAAAATCGTCGCCTTCAATCTGCTCAATTTCATCCTCCCTCATAAACTCTCTCAACCTCTCCTTAAAAACCCCCAACTGCTCCTCCAAAAAGCTCTTCTGAGCATCAAGTTCAACCACATTCCACCTCAACGACTCAATCACTTGGCGATCATACTCTTGCCTCTCCTCCACCATCCTCCGAAACTGATTCGCCTCAATCTCAACCGAACTCTTCTCATTCTGCAGCCTCAATATCATCGCCATTGCCTCCTCCGCAGCACTCGAAGCAGCCACACGCTCCTTATCGATCTCCGCACACGCAGCAGCATATCTCTGTCTCTCCATTTTCACCAACTTCCTTAGCGACATTACATCAAACACCTCATCCTCCAAATTCTCCTCCTCCAAATCATCACGTTTCACCGCAGATTTTAACGATCTCAACTGCACATCCAAACGCTTAACCTTCGCTGGAGCCTTCATCTTCCGAAACCTCGGCTGCGAGAGTCGAAGAATCTCCGAAAACCGAAGAATCTTGACGCAGATTCCGAAGATCAGAACAAGGCCAACGAAATTGATAATCCGAGAGAAGTAACTACCGAGAAGAACAAAACCGCAACCAAGCTCACTCGCCTGCGTAAGAAAATTGAAACTGGAAGGAAAATCCATAACAACGAAAACGAAAAAGCGAAGCGAAAAACGAAGAAACTTATGATAGATTTCAAGAACAGAGTACTGATGAAGAAAAAACAACAAACAAAAACGACCTAGAGTCTGCATCTTAGCGTTAAAGGTAAAAAAAGAGAAAGAGTGCCATTAGTGTAATTTGAAAGTGAGAGAGAATTCAAAGAAAATAATTGTGAAGAACAAGAAGAATGAGAAAGCGTAGAAATAGATAACGGGAAGAGCATCGGTTATGATTCCTATTCAGAGAGGTGTGAGATTTTTTTAATACCGTTGCTAATTATGATTATATTAGTACTAATAATCATTCTTTTTTTTATAATCAAATTAATTAAGTTTTTAATTCTAAGATCCACCGTTTGTAAAATAGACAATTATGCCTTTATCTGTACTTTATTCTTTTGTCAAAAAATATCTTTTATTTGGTCAAATTTTTTTTTATTTTCCATTTTTTAAACTTATTTTAGTTTTGTTAATTAATAAACATATTACTAAATTTTTCAAATAATCTTTTTTAATAAAAACATCTTATCCAACTTAATTGGAAATTCAAAATATAAATATAGTTTAAATTAATTATATTTAAAAAAGTAATATAAAAATTATTAAATTAAATTTTTATTTATTTATTATTTAAATTAAATTTTTTGTTTAATATATATAATTAAAATGCTTATTAAGACAAAAATTAAATCTCAATTGTTCATTATAATTATTATTTCATAATTCATATTAAAAGAGAAATTAAATTTAAAATTATTTTCTAAAACAATGATAAATATATATTTTTGTCTTTCTTATTTAAATAATTCTTAATAAAATTTAATTAAAATATACAAACAGTGTAAAATATTTTTATATCGTCAATAAATCACAATTGTTGAATTGTTTAAAACGTTTGATTTTATTTTTAATTTTTTTTTAAATAATAAATTTGAGTAGTTATAATGTATTGACAGTATAAAAATATTTATACTGTTAGTATATAACAATTAAAGTTAAGATATAACATTATTTTATATATAAAATCAGAAATTTTTAACTAACTTTTTTTATTGTATGTATTAATTTATAACAATAGTTATTATTTTGTCTTAATAACAAACTAGCATTTAGAAGAGCACTCATGTGCTCGTCTCTGTTTTCTTTAATATGCAAACGGATGAAAATAAAAATGATATTTTTAATATATTAATTTTTAATTTTAATATAAATTATTTATAAAATAATTAAAAAGTTGGAATTAAATAAATATAAAAGAAAAAAATTGAAGTTAAAAATAAAAATTAAAAAGGATATAGTTGAAACAAAATAAACTACACCAAAACCATATTTTATATATAGTGATAAATAAAAACTATTAAAAATATTTGTATGTATTTTCTGGAAGTAATAAAAATATTTTAAAAAATTTATTAAATAATAAATAAAAACTATTCAAAATATTTGTGTTTTTTTTAGAAGTAATAAAAATATAAAAAATTAGCTTTATTATTTTTTCAAACGCATCATTTTTATTTAATACTTTATTTTATACTGAAATGTATATTGGTAAAATTTATATATATATATATATATATATATATATATATATATATATATATATATATATATATATATATATATATATATATATATATATATATATATATATATATATATATATATATGAAGGGGTGAAAAACACAAGAAGGGGGGGTTGAATTGTAAAAACTGGAAACTTAAAGCAATTGACAAGATATTTTTATCCTGGTTCGTTTGATCTCAAACTACTCCAGTCCACCCGTCAAGGTGATTTCGCCTCTCTCCAACGAGGTCTTAATTCACTATATTCAACTGAATACAAATCTGCTTTAGCAACTGCTAAAACCTTCTTGATTCAAACCACAATCCGGTTTGTCAAGGCAACACTTTCTTACAAAGGTATAAAATAATGTGTGTGAATGTTTTCTACAAAACTATATCACAACTGTGATGTTTACACAAATGAAGCTTAGAAACTTAGAATGCTAAACACTAATGGAGTATCAGAGTTTGTTGGTTTAGCAAAACTGGTAGATGAAGATTATTGTTCAGAGTTTGGAAGCATTGGCCGTGATAATCTTCGAAGCTTGACTTATATAGCATTTGAGAAGATGAACGTTGAAGCAAATATTCTTTATTCAATGCTAATAACAAGCTTTCCTTTTTGAGCAGATCTTGTCTAGAATGATGCCGTTGGAATTAATTAGCGTTCAATGCACAGTACCGTTGCTTCTTCAATGCACGTTCTGGCTTGGCTCATTCTGATTCTGCTTCGCTGCTGATGAACTATTTGATTCTGTATCAGAGTGGTTTACGCGCAGTTCTGTTCATCAAGCTTCAGCATGTGCAAGCGTTGATCATCTGATCTTGACGTTCTGATTCAGCAACTTCTGATGCTGGTGTACAAACTCATATTCTGATGCTGAAGAAGTGATCTTGCTTATTTTAATCAGCATATCTGCAAGTCAGAGCATAGTAATTTTAGGCAGCATATAATTCAATCATGAAATATTTAACTACTATATCTTTTCACTTTGTTATCATCAAAACTCAAATATAGGGTACTAGATTCAAACATTGTTCTAACAATCTCCCCCTTTTTGATGATGACAAAAACTAGATATTTTAAATGAAAAATAACGTGAAAAGTTATCAGAGCTATGTATCAGAATAAGAAGTACGGAGAAGTCAGAGTTTAAGAGATACTCCCCCTGAGTTTGTTACTTCCCTTTGATATGCGTGTTCTTCAGAGTCAGATCTTTTTCTATCTTTGAGCATCAGATTATAGGTCTTTGACTTATCAGAGAGCAGAGCTTCAGAGCTTTTCCTGTCAGAGCTTTGCTTCGGATCAGAGTGTTAGGACGATCAGAGCTTCATATATCAGAACTTCATATTTGATCAGAGCAACATGAGCTTTTACATTTTGATCAGAGCTTCCTTGTGCCTGTAGACTTAACAACAAAACAGAAAAACATTTCAAGTAATAGAGTTAGAATGTTTGAGAATTTCTGTCTAGTTAGCCGTTATTGATTTTAAATATCATTCTTGTTCTCCCCCTTTTTGTCAGCAATCAAAAAGTGTTAGTGATGTGCTAAAACAATTTAGATCAGAAAAACAAGTTATATTAAAATAGTTCAGAGCAAAGAACATTACACAAGCATAGTCAAAACATAGTCAAAAGTACATCAGAAAATGAAGAAAATATAGAGAATGTCATGCATGAAAAAAAATTTCAAGGTTGTGGGGGCATGCGTGAGAACAGGCTTTCCAGCATTGCTTGAATCTTTTCAGAAGTTTCATTCTGCTTCTGAACCATGGTGACAACAGTATCAATCTTGCTGTCCTGAACATTCATTCTTGCTTCCATCTTCTGATCATTCTCTTCCATCCGCTGCTGTAGACGCAAGTCATTCAGCCTGAGTTCTTCCAGAGCCTGCCTGTCCAAGGCAGCTTGAGAACGATTTGAGAGAAAAAAAAGGTTTTAAGAAGATAACTCAGAAATATGCAGAGAATACTTAAGAGATTATGAGAAAGCGTAAAGAATAAGATTGAAGAATACTGTGCTTAAATAAAGATTTCAAAAATTATTTTGAAAAATTAAACGTTTTTAAGAGAGAGAAAAAAATAATGATTGCCATTAACGAGCGTGATTACTTTTGCATTTAATGCTTGCTGATTTTGGGGGATTTGAGAAAGATACTTAAAAACGGTTACCAGACATGTGTCTCAATGCACCCAATCAGCGCTTTCCTTTCTCAGAAGCGTGCACGCGTTCTGCTTCAGGGATTTGCTGATGATTGGATGACACTTGTTTGATGTAGTGATCAGCACGTCTGTCTTTGAGATTAGACTCTCAGATCTTTAGACTTGCCTCTGATACAATCTGCATGTTCTAACTTTCTGAAAGAAGATTGATCAGAAGTTCACAGTAATATAATTACATTCTGAAGATAAATACATGGAATTAAAACATTTTCATTCTGGGCATACTTTCATGCTGAGATGTTTCAGAATGAAATTAAACCTATCTTCTGAAAGGGGTTTAGTAAAGATATCAGCCCATTGATGGTCTGTATCTATAAATTTCAAGTTTAAAATTCCTTTCTGAATATAGTCCCTAATGAAATGATGTTTTATTTCTATATGCTTAGCTCTAGAATGTAAAATAGGATTCTTACTTAAGCAAATAGCAGAAGTATTATCACAGAGAATAGGAATGTTACTCTCAAAAATCTGGAAGTCTTCAAGCTGACTTTTCATCCAGAGCATCTGTGTGCTACATCCAGCTGCTGCTATGTACTCAGCTTCTGCTGTTGACAGAGCAATTGTTGATTGCCTTTTGCTGGACCACGAGATCAGATTTTCTCCCAGAAACTGGCAGCTTCCAGAAGTACTTTTGCGTTCCACTCTGTCTCCAGCAAAATCAGCATCGCAGTAGCCTACTAAGCTGTAATCACTAGATTTTCTATAAAACAAACCCAGATTAGTAGTACCTTTCAGATACTTGAAAATTCGCTTAACAGCTGTTAAGTGAGATTCTCTAGGATCTGATTGGAATCTAGCACAAATACACACGCTGAATAAAATATCAGGTCTTGAAGCAGTCAGATAGAGGAGAGAACCAATCATACCTCTGTAGACTTTCTGTTCTACGCTTTTGCTTACCTCTTCTCTTTCCAGAATGCACGTGGGATGCATTGGAATCTTTGATGGCTTACATTCTGAGAGGTCAAATTTCTTCAGAAGATCTCTGATGTATTTGCTCTGATGAATGTAAGTTCCCTCTGGAGTTTGATTAATCTGAATTCCTAGAAAGAATTTCAGTTCCCCCATGAGGCTCATCTCAAATTCTGCCTGCATACACTTAGCAAAATTTTCTTCCAAGAGAAGGATTAGTAGAACCAAAGATTATATCGTCAACATAAATTTGACAGACTAAGATGTCACTCTTAACTGTTTTACAGAATAGAGTAGTGTCCACTTTCCCTCTGGTGAATTCATTTTCAAGCAGAAAGTTACTCAGCCTTTCATACCAAGCTCTGGGAGCTTGTTTCAGACCATACAGTGACTTT